AATAGTGGTTCAGGTGTCGTGATGTTGATACGGAAGATAGTGATGATGATGATGCAACCAGCGATGAAACATCGCGATGGTGTGAACAGAAATACACAGTTCAATCGGATGGGTCAAAACCTGGCCCGAGAGTTGAAGGTATGCCCAATGACATTACGTCAATATAATTCAATTTGTTGAACATATATGTTAGTAGATAAATAGATACGTTTATTTTTTGTGCATAATTTAAACTGCCTGTGTGAAGGCAAAGCAGAAAGTTAAAAAGGGGATGGATACATTTACAAGGCGGAAGATGACACATACACAAGTAGTTTCTCCCCGAAGGTAGAGTAGTGTAATTAATCTTCTGAATCATTAGATCCATTCAAATCGAATATGGATCGATGTGGGAGAGGGATTCATTCAATAATATACCTGACTGCGTATGAAAGAGAGAAAGAGAGTTGATAGTTTTTTGGCCAAGGATAATGGTCGGTATAGGATGATATTGTTGTTCATTCAAACTCAGATAAAATTTTACAAAAATAGCACCTTTGAATTGAACTGGGTTCGAATTGAGATGGGATGTGGGATGGTCATCCATGTCTGTTGCCTGAAAGCAACTGTATTCCAAGGTTTCTTGAATGAGCAGAGGCATTTGCGAGGGGGGAGACGGGTGGAGCGAAGGTCGGAAAGGCGAGAAGAGAGGTTGAACCGTCGTTTAAATCGAGAGGGAAAACAAAACGATATCATTCAGGAGTGATTTGACAAACGCAAGTACCAGACTGATGGTGAGACCATAAGGAAGAGGGGGGAGGAACTCAACGAGCTGAATAGTCGGGGTTAGGATAAATTATGTGAAATTCACAACGACTCCCCGAATAGCGATTAATAGCATCCTGACTTGCGAAGCAGAACAGCGCGCAGAGAACAAGATTCCGATCGGTTAGTGCTCACATTCTGCCTTTGTCCATGGTGCGATAAAGACGCAACTCAAATCGCTGTCCCTGTGCGGTCGGTCGGATGATTGGGCTGCAATCATTCGGGGCTTGACGTGATCACATGATCTCTACTTGTCTTGAAGCTCATCGAGCCCTGCATCTCGAACGACAGTGACGACGAGAACGACATCAACCACAACACTCGTCGAACGAAGAGAAAATACGGACTGAAAGCGGTGCATGACGCAAAAAGGTTGCTTGTCTGGGACCGAAAAACTCGAATGGAAACAGAGAAGCAAAAAGCCAGAAAGGTAGTGATGAAAAACGGTCAAATAAAGAGCTGCAAAACGCACGGAGAGGCAGTTTTTGTGCGAAGGAAAATAACTTAGAGCACATGGGGATGGAAAAAGCATGTATTTGAGTGAAAAAGAGGAGAACAAGGTGCCAGACTGAGCCTGACGGTAAGTTAGTCGGGACCGTTGTGACTAGGCAGCGTGGAATACTTTAGAACAGAAATACATAGAAGAAACAGAAAACAAGTGACGAGTGAATAAGAAAGGCAACAAAACAACAAGAAAATAACAACAGCCTTACAATCGTCTGATGCAGATCATCATATTGAGAGCTAAACAGCCGTGAAATGATGTAAAAGCAGTACCAGAGTTGATTATGAAGGATGCACGTTGATCAGTCGATGATTGAATTACAATCCTGGTGTTTTGAGGTTTGTCATAGATTTGATTAACAATGAAAACAAACAATTCTTTTGAAACAGCTAACTTCACTCGATCGGTCAATTTCCCCGGTCCTTTTCGTCAATCCACACTGTCCAAGATGTGCCACGTGACTCCTGATAATGATTGTGCACAACAGCAAAGTAGACATGAGCAAATCGCAGACAATCGTGTACGAGCACACACACACACGCACGTGCAAGTGAGCACAAAATAGGTCAAACAGTAGTAATACAGTTTCCGATGAAGACCGATACGCACATGGTGAGTTGGGTCTGTCGAGGTGGTGTCCAATGTGTCAGAGGAAGTAAAACAGTTAATCTGTATGTTATGTGTCATGTACAGATACGTGGACGGGTGGATGGACGCATGGATGAATGTCACAGCGGAAGGAATCGAGAGTAACACGAGTGACCAATCTGTGAGCCGACTTGGAAGAGTAAATCACGACAGATCAGGATACGATTGCAGACGAAGAAAGACAAAGTACCACAGAAAGCGTAGACGGTGGGCACGAAAGTCTTCCACAGAGCTGACATGGAGACGAATACAAAGAATTGGAAACGCATATGAGAGAATCCGGGTGTGCGAGGTAGAGAAACCTATTCGTCTGTCCGAACCAGCAACCAGTTGCGGATGATTACTGTCAATAAGAACAATAATGACATTGCACGAATGAGCGACGTGCTCATCGGTGAACCAAGCGCATGAGTGATCTGCTACAGTGGTTTGTGTGCAATGATTTGTGGATGAAACGACTTGATGTTGCTTTTGTTGGACAGAGGAAACGAAGTTGCGGGACAAGAGCAGCGGATGCGAAAAATGTTGGAAGAAATTAGGGGAGAGCAATATCCGACCAATCATGATGCATACGAGATGCGCTCCAACTTCGCGGGGCTCATTCGAAGGTCAATTGCGAGAAAAAATAAGAATACGAATGTGTGCGTGTGTGTGAGAGAGATAATGAGCAGGATGGAGAGTGACGGTAACAAGTAAACCAATGAGACAGATATGAGACGAAAGGCACGTGACATTCATTATGGGACCGTGAATGGGAATGCGGATGGGAAAACGGTTTGTGGAACGGAAGGGGAGAAAGGACCTGTTCGACAAAAACATTGATGAGACATGATGAAACGGTAGACTCGTCAGTGCAGGACACAATGGATCAATGAATCAGACACATAAGAGTGTATGAATGGTGATAGGACAGTAGTGGAAAATGAAGCATATCAATAATGGTGAATGTGACACAGATGGCACTGAAATGAGTAATAATTGATTCAAATCATAGTAACATTAGTAGCCTGGTCGGAGTGAATGGAGCGTGAATCCGACCATGTAGATGAATTCCACATTGTGTTCCATCTACCTTGTAGACGTTGCTGCTGCTGTTGAGGAAAAATGATAAATACATTTGGGCGATCAATCGAGCGAATACAAGTGATTTGAGGAGGCACAGCATAAGTGAAAGAGAGCGAGGCGGATAAGTGGGAGAAGGGCAGGTTAGGGTTGGGTTGTAAGGAAAACACAACAGGGAAAAGACAACAGTCACATCATCATCCACGATTAACTGGACAACAAAAGAGCAATGCAACCATGCACCGTTAGGGTCAGCCCGATCGGAGTCAACTCAGCTCAGCCTAGATTCGTGAAATGGTGTACATGCGCGCCAGTGTAAACGCCAACACAGGAATCAGCACCCAGCCCCGTTCGATCCCTCAGTTTGAGACGGAGCTACAGTTTGGACAAAGTACTCAGAGAGGAAAGATTGGTTGAAGTAGACGAGACTGAATCAAACCGGAAGTGGAAGCGGCGATATACATCGGCTGTGTTCGAACTGGACGGTTCATGCGCTCAGAGCAGGCTGGCGTATGAGTGGCTCTGGGAAAGAAGCCCGTGGGAGTGGAGTGGAGTAGAATAGAACGAATCGGACCAAAGCGGAAGAGATGGAAGGAAGAATGTTTATTTTTTGCAATATGAGCGGAAATCCGAAAGGAAAGCAGACATTTCTGCGGCTGCTGCTGGTGGTGATGATGGTGAAGTTACCGTTTTATCTGTGGAGCATGTACACAGTGGATTACACCAGCTCGCTCACTGACTGTGTCCGCATGTTTAGCTGTACCAGGCAGTCACCCTCTCACTCTCTCTGCGGTGTTGTGCATTCTCAGGACATGGAGATCATGTTCGCGTACGGGGGTAGCAGCGCGGTGGATGACAAGAACACCGGGAGCGGTTGCGAGAGCGGACACTCACCTGGAGGCAGATAATATCCCGGTAGATATGCATACGCACTAGGTTGCCGGGCTGTCACAGGCGATGTTGTCGCAGCTAGTGTGTAGCTTGCAGCAGCTGCGGCCGCAGCAGCTGCAGCCGGACCGCTCAGTGAGCCAGGAAGAAAATGTGCTACACGGAAAAATAATGGGAGGGAGGAATCATAATTAGACCAAGTGTGAACATAACAGAGATTACATGACATTCAAGTTTCCCAAAGCAAATAGTCCCGTTCTTAGTTAGGTTTTATCTTCCCTCAGCTAGATGAACAAATCAATAATATTGCCTCTTGGCTAATCTCAGTAACATTCGAATTAAAATGGGATTAACCGCAATTAGGACTGCACTCAAGTAATGCAGTCGCAAACTTACCTGAATTGTCGATCCTGACCGCAAACGAGCTGCGGACTAAACGCTTTGAAGTTCTGTCTATAATCATTAGATTATACATAGTTTTACTCCGATTGTCTTTGCTACTCCCTAACATGTCAAATTTTGAAATCATATTTCGAAGAGAACTCAATCCATCAATTTCTCACGCGATCAAGAGGGGGGGGGGCAGACGGAGTGAAACAATGACATGGATCGATGTAACTACACTCCACCAATTAGGTATCCCCGTGCAATAGCTTCCCATTCATTATCTTATAGACACAATCACCTTTTGATGATTGTGGCAACGATCCTCTTCGAGCCAAAGTTGCAAAGCAAAATCCTTTTAAGAACTTCCCTGTTTTCAATTTCTTAGAAAAATACCTCTAAACGAATCGTGTTCCAAAATATTATTCGCTCTTTTCTACTCTACAAGGAGCTTTCACATTTCTGCATTTTGCCACTTCGGTGTCCTTCAAGAGACACACAGAACCAAAATACAAATTGCGAAAGGCACAGACCAACGATATCATCTTTCTTGACAGGAATAAGTGGACCACAAGAAAAATATTCAACAAGATGAACGAATTTGTTTCAACTAGCGAGAGAGTACTTCGGACACAATAGAAGCGGTTAGTCGTTTGTCCATACACAACCATACCAGTGCATGATGCGGTTGTTAGTACTGTAGATAAAGATCATGGCTATAAGGTCATTCATAATGGTCGACTTACCACTAAATCCTAGCCCTATGGAGGGCCTGCGAGGACTGATGAGCCTGGTCACGAAAATCAGTGAATAACGAGCTAGCTAAACGGCGTGACCGGTGGCGAGCCGGATGAGGGTNAAACACACCTGCGCTTATCAATCATTATTTGATTTCGAAGGGGATTCGGCTCATTTGCAGCAATGACATTAAACTTAAGGTAAATTGTAGTCACAGTGCTGTCAAAAACATTGCTTCCATATCCGTAATCTTACTGCCTCCCAGGGGTCAAGCTTTGTCCTACGGAAGCTCTTATAGGTGAGTCTGGAAGAAAACTACCTACTTAGGGTTGGGCAACTTGGAATTAATTCGCCACAAAGGAATTCCACAATCAGAAGATTCCTTTTACCCCAGCGAACTCGATAGTGAAACAGGGTGAAGAGTGACAAATAACAATCAAACTGCTAGATTTCAGCTACAGACAAAGTGATGTTATTCAACCAACAGTGCCGAACCGCGTTTCAGCTGGGCGCAAAGCATTGTTCCGGTCTCGAGAAATTACACGAATGGATGAGGAGCAAAGTAAACGAGATAATAGGGAGACAGTCCCCGATCAGATATACGCATTG